AGGTAGACAACATCCACGGCTCTCCCTTCATCTACCCAGCCAGTCATGTCATCGTAGAAAGCTATTAGATTGGTCAGGCATGATTTCCCCTTGGTGAATCCAGAGTCTCCTCAGATAGTAGGCTGTATTAATAAATGCTCAAGTGAGAAAAAACGGTGGAATTTTGCAGGAATTTCCTTACCAAAAGCAAGAGAGAAGGACAAAGACTGTTCCCAGTATTTGCAGTCAGTGGCCACAAATACAATTTGTGTAACTTCTGTGATTTGAGGAGACCTCTCCACCGATCAGCAATACACCAGTTTTAGTCTCCTCAGATAGTAGGCTGTATTAATAAATGCTCAAGTGAGAAAAAACGGTGGAATTTTGCAGGAATTTCCTTACCAAAAGCAAGAGAGAAGGACAAAGACTGTTCCCAGTATTTGCAGTCAGTGGCCACAAATACAATTTGTGTAACTTCTGTGATTTGAGGAGACCTCTCCACCGATCAGCAATACACCAGTTTTGCTTAGAACCTATTTTTTTTAGCAGACAGAATAGCTCCTCCTTCTTCTGAGTTACAATGGTAGTTCTCTGAGCTTTAAGCATCTGTCTCAACAATGTTAGCTAGTCAAAGAGGTTTAGTAGTTGTTCTGCTATCCTCCTGACCTCGCTTGGCCTCTAGGTAATGTTCTGTGTAAATACCCAGGCTGATTCGTACAAAGGATGTGTTTAACAAAGTCAATAACTTTCTGCCAACTATCCCATTGCCATATTTTGGAACTACATCAGTCAAGAATTAGTGCACAAACTGTTTTTAAAAAATCTGTTCTGTTCGAGGGAGCCTACTACTGGCCAATCTCCACCTGTTGCTCTTCCAGCCATGGCTAAAATGGTTGTTCTTACTGTGTTGCCAATACCTTGTGCAAGCCAAGTCGTCACTTGGTGTTCACACCAAGGTGTTCTTTCTCAGAGTTTTCCCAGGGCTGTGGATGTACTCCAATGTATGTCAAGGATTTGTTTAAAATTGCAGCTAGTGTGCCAATAGTCCAGTAGTAATTGCTGATCTTTAGCTTATCTGGAAGAAAGCCATTCTGCAGTTCACTTACCTGTGTTAATGGTTCCTAGGTTGCCTTAGACTTTACATAAAGGCTTTTTTTTTTCCATACTAAAGGAGATGTCTCCCTTATGTACAGTCAGAGGCACGAAAAGCAGATCCAAGGTTCTTCTACTAAAGAGTTTGAATTCGTCTCCTGCTCTGACATGAGGTCTTTCCTTATCCACATGCCCTTTCCTCTGTCAGCATGTGGCAGCCCTGGCACTTAGAGCTTTCTGATGTGCAGGTCTTGGCAGCTAAGTTCCTTAATTCTGCATTTTTCAGGGATATTGAGAGTTGTGTACTAATCTCCACAGTCGCTGGAGCAGCACCCTGTCGTATTTAATTAAAAGAGGGATAGGTACCAAAAAAGATCAAAACTGGGAGTTGAAAAAAAAAAAATCTGGAGTTTTGGTCTTTTGTTGTATAAAACTCCTGAAGTTTAAAGCAATCATATCTTACTTGCATACGTATGTTTTCCTTCTGGGTGAGTGTTGTCTTTCATAGTCTTGATTTATTTTTCGACATGTTTCTCTAACAGCACAAATAAAAAAAGATTTAAGTAGAAAGGCTTTTGTATCTTACTAGGAATGTGTGTAAAGATCAGATCTAAAAATTCCATTTCCCCGCTCAGTTACAGAAGGAAGAAGATAAGCATGTAGTAAAGTTGAGAAAATAAATAATGAAGTACTTTGTTTACTAACTTGCTATTTTTTTTTCCATTCAGATGCCTCAAGAGGCATATGCATCTGACCAGTCTCAGTCTCTACTGCAGTGAGTATAATCTGTGTATAACACAGGAATTCCAGTCAGGCATACTGTAATTAAACAATTCCATTATGCCTCCATTTGTACGCTGTTTTATTCTCGGTGTTCTATTGTGAAGCAGTTTTCTTGTTTACTTAGTGAAAGATCTATATTTATGTCAGAGGTAATTCTGTGTCAAATATGGGTCAAACTGACCCATATTTGTTTTTATTGATGATATTATCTTTAATGGTATACGGGAGTAAGCAGTGGGAATGACAGTAAACTACTTGGGGAAAGCCATTAGATAAATAAGCAATAATTTGTAATAAATAATAGTAGACCTGTTGTTTGTCAAAGCTATGGAAGGATTTCAGTAGAAGATGTGTTTAGAACAAAAATACAGAAGTAATTAAATATATGAAGGGGTTTTGTTTTTTTTTTACATAGAGAATGAAAGTACAAACATAGCTAGCTCCACTTAGGATATCTGGAAGTCTTAGTTACTGCATGTCATTGTAAAGAGAAGTATGCTGCTAAAATAACTGCAGTTGTTTCCACAAATAGTTTGTGGAACATACTATGTCCAACTGCATAAATAAACTCAAAGTACTGTAGAAATTTTCTGAAGCTGAGCAGATTACAGTTCTTTCTGAATAAGATTTTTTTATTGTATTATTTAATTCTAGGGAATGGATAAACTTTCCATCACTTACTGGAAATGATTCTAAGCCTGTTTTTTCACTGAATGCTGTAATAGAGGGACAGAAAAATAATTCTGTAGGTATGTTGTATTTTGTGCAAAACTGAAAGTTGCTCTAGCTGTGCCAAAATAATTTGAGAAGCTGAAGAGGAGTATCCATGTAGGTTTGTCTAAAATCTGACCGTATGTGGCCTTCACAACAGTGGTTTACTTTTCATAGTTGTCTTGGACTACAAGACATGTATTTGTGAACATCATGTTTGGATTGTTTGAAGAAAGAACTGTTTTCCCAAGACAGTGGTGTAAAATTATTTCGTTGCTATGGTATTTTCTGACAAAAGTTACAGGCTACATAGTACTCAAGTGCCACATGGACATGTAAGGTAAGCACGGTTGTCACAGTCATTGAGAATTCCTACGTGCTTCTTACAAACATATCCAAGAATCAAAGACGTGTAAGAAAGGAGAAGCAAAAATGCTGCTGGTCATTCCACAGATCTATCTGTCACCTGCTGCTCCTGCTGTTGTAGTTCTGTTCCTCTGTGCTCCCAGCAGTGCAGCACTGCCCTGTCTATTTTGCTGTCTCCCTGTTTGAGCTGATCGTTGCTAACCTGATAGAAAATGATTCACTTTATTTCTGATTAGGAAATGCCGAGGGAGTCACATGAATCTCAAAACATGGTGATGGGAGCAGAGGGGGTGGGACCAGCCCTTTTCAGAGGCAGTAAATTATTGGATTGTTTCATCTGTATTGTCTAATTGCATTTTAATTACAGAGGGCAAGGGATAGGTCTCATCCTGTGGAATGCGCAGCAGTTCCATCTGCTGATAGTCTTTGGAAACACAGGCCTCTAAACCAGAGTGAAGAAATGTGTCAAAATAGCCCTGAAATATAATTTGGTGACTAACAGACCCTAACTAGATTTATTGTCAGTTCCAGTTAGGGAACGTGACTGCAGTAATTTTCAAGAATGTTTGAAACTAGACTTAGTCAGGAAGTGAGGCCGTTTTATTAGAGATTAGAACTTTCAGAAGTGGAATTCAGTGACAGTACAACTGAAATATTTGTTTACTCTCCTAAATTTAGATATCAAACTGAATGGATTTCCGAAAGATTCAGAAGAACAGGTTAGTGTATTTTTACAACCGAATGTATAATTAATTTAATTAGTATTAGGGAATATTTGACTGAAAAATAGCTGGTTCTTTCATTTTAAAAAGCAGACATGTACTTGTTGAAATTGACACTGAGCTCATTGGGTGAAAATGGCTTAAGAGCTAACCTTTATTTTCTGCTTTTTGGGTAGGAACTACAGTACAAAGCTTGCAGGGCACAAGAGTAGAAGCATAGCAGTAACAGTGAAGTAGGGAAGACGTCAGTATGACACAGAATCTACAAGGGCTGTTACTTAAGCTAAAGTAATGAAGACTTTTAGTAGCTTAAGGCATGTTTCCTGCCAACGAAAATTACGGGAGAGGCATTAGGAAGGTCTTTGAGGAGGAACAAAGTATGTGTAAGTGTCCTTCTGTTTGGGAGTGATGACTGACTTGTAGCGAAAAACAGCTAGTACCAGTCTCTTTGATATATCTCTTTGGTAATCCTGAAGCTGCTAATGAGGGACAGGTTTCACTGCTGATGAGGTTAAAGTTAGGGAATAGCTTTGGAGCTACCTTTCCCCCTGTTTGTCAGCTCCTTTCTCAGCAATACTGAATCAAGGATGATTCCACTCCTGTGTCAGTCTATCTGCTCGGATGTTGCAAGATACTGCCTGTTTTCTCTACCATGCGTTTCTGCTGCTTCCTTTGGGCAACGGTGGCATCTGTTTGACCCCCACCATGAAGCAGGTTTTGGGGAATAACTGTCAAATGCTGTTCAGTTTTTTTTAGTTGCCTTAGTTTTCAGCCAGGCAATTTTTTCAGTCCAGTTCCCCTGGAACTGAGGATTAGATGAGTGCTGGTGCAGCATGAGAGAGGGTGTGGAAATGCATAGCTGAAGGCACGTGGAAGGATGGGGACTGTACCAACACTATTTTAGCTAAGCTTAATACAGTCTGAATGTTTGGAGTGTAGCTCACAAATAATACTGGTTATTTTAGTAACTATCTGCTTGCAAGCACTGCTTTTGCACGTAAAACAAAGAAAAGCTTGGAGAGAAGAAGGAATTCCCTGAGACCTTCCAGAAAACACAGTAGCAAAAATTCACCAATATATCCACATGAACCATTTAACCCAGAAATACCTTGAGCAAGAGTTGAAGGTTCTGCAGCCAGCAGGTCGATGGAGGTTCTCCTCCCCCTCTACTCAGCCCTAGTGAGGCCCCATCTGGAGTCCTGTGTCCAGTTCTGGGCTCCCCAGTTCAAGAAAGATGAGGAGCTACTGGAGAGAGTCCAGCGGAGGGCTACGAGGATGGTGCGGGGACTGGAGCA